TGAGGACTAGGGGTAGGGGTGGCGGGGGTCGGGTTCCGGAGTCAGGGGGCGGCGTGGCGAAAGGGGGGGAAGGGGGGGGGTTCGGACCTCCCCCCCCCCTTTTGAAGGGGGGGGGCTCCCCGACGACAGGTCGGGGAAAGGGGGGACAGCGGGGAAACGGGGGAAGGGGGGGGGGGGTCCCCGACGACGGATCGGGAAAGGGGGGGGGGGGGTCCTACCCCCCCCCCCCCCCCCCCCCTTCGTGGAGATCCAGCGGCGCACCCTCTCTTATTTTCCTCTGCATCACAGTGCCATACCTTGACCACTATGGTGGAGACGGAGAGGGTGACTATGGATGTGGAGGTGGGTTAGCGGCAGTGGCCACGGGACCCTGACACGAATCATTTCGCATGCCAGTCTTTGTCGCCACCACAGTTGATTGTGCACGTGTATCTCGGTCCCTCTTCTCCTTGTAGTTGTTTTGATCCGAATAGTTTGTCACCATCTGTCTATGTTCGTTGCGGTGTGTTGTCTCTACTTCATCGCCTGGCTGGCGCATGCTCTTGGCCTTGCGGGCCCACCGTCTTTTCTTCTGCGTCTCTCACCCTTTTGATTTCCCCTGCGCCAGCCAGGTTTGACTTTTTCGTTGTTTGGCCGAAGTCGACCACCTACCTTTTTTTCCTTGGCGACAAGACGCAACGATCTCTAGGTCGATGTTCGCGCAACGACAAAAAGGGGGGAAGGGAACTATTCTTCTTCTCATATAGACCCTCTTCTTGCCTCATCCCCCACCGATTTCTCTCTCCCATTTCTCTCTCCGCCCCCCCCTCCTCCGCCCCCTCGCCCCGACAGCGGGCTTGGGCTCGAGAGCTGTCCCCCGCGGCGCGCGGGCACCACCCGTGGAACGTGCAACGTCCAGCGCCCCTGCACTCAGCCACGCTCCCTTCAGCATCCTCCCTTCTCCCTCTTCTGTTTCCTCCCTCCGCCCTTCCCTCCTTCTCTCCTCCTTCTTCCTCCCCCCTTTTGTCCCCCTCCCCCTCCTCCCCTCCTCCTCCTCCCCTCCTCCTCCTTCCCACCCCCCCTCCTGAACTCTCCCCCCTCGTTCCTTATGTCCCTCCCACCTCTTATTTCCCCCCTCCCTCCCTGCTTCAAAGAAGCGCGAACGTTCCCCAATCAGAGCCTGCTTCTGGATGGGGTCCTAGCGGATTCATGCGGCTCGGCGAGGTATGGCGCCGATTTCGGCGGCCCACCCGGGTGCCCGAATGCCCGAGCGCCGGGGGCCCGGGTGCCTCTTGGCGCCCGGGTGCCCGGGTGCCCGGTAGCCCCGTAGTTTTATAGCCCCATAGCCCTATAGCTTTATAGCCCTATAGCCTTATAGCCCTATGGGCCTGTAGCCCTTAGCCCTATAGCCTCATAGCGCTATAGCCCTAAAAGCCCTATAGTTCTATAGGCCTATAGCCTTATAGCCTTGTAGCCCTATAGCCTTATAGCTTTGTAGCCCTCTAGCCCTATAGCCCTGTACACACATAGCCCCGTAGCCTTTTAGCCTTATAGCCATATAGCCCTATAGCTTTGAAGCCCCTCAGCCCCATAGCCCCTTTTAGCCCTGCAGCCCTATAGCCTTGTAGACTCACGGCCATATAGTCCTATAGCCCTGTAGCTCTATATGCCTTTAGCCCTATAGCCCTGTAGCCCTTTATAGACCTATATCCCTATGTTCCTGTAGCCCTATAGGCAAATAGCCCTATAGCCCTAAAGTGTTCGTGATCGTTTTTTATGGTATAATAAATGTACATTAAAGTGTGTGGATCAGCGGCTGGTCCAGTTTCCATGGTGACCCGGCGCGTTCCGTCGCCAAACTGGAGCGGCCTCGCGTTTCGGGGGGGGCGCGCTCCCCGATCCCTGGATCTGGCGCCAAATCCACGGATTCCGAGGGTAGCGTGTGACCGACTGCCCTCTGTGTGCACGTTGCTCTGTCTTGCGCGCGGTTGCTGCACTCCCGGAGGATACGCTTGCCGCGCAGCTGAGGGACGAGAAAGCCGGCGCCGCGAGGGCATGGCAGCACATAGCGCCCTTCTTGAGGCGGCCCTCCCATTTGCCCCGCTGTAGGATGAGGAGAGGATGGAGACAACAGGTCGTGATCGTTTTCGTTTGTTGTTCCCGACCGGCGCGGGCCGTCGCACCACCCCCTCCCCCCCCGCCGTGGAGTAGAGCTTGGCTGTTGTTGTTGGTGCCTGTTTCGAGCAGGTGGATTTCCTTCCCCATAGGACGCACTGTTGCAAACAGTCGCACGAAGCAGAGGTCCGAAGCCAGACCCCCCCCCTCGCCCCGTCCGCCCAATGTCGAAACGCTGAATATGAAAACGCTCGCATCCCGAACAGAAGCTCAATTGTATGGAGAGCTGCAGATGGTGTCTTCTCCGCTGCAAATCGTCTACAGATTAAAGCTGCAGGGCATTCATATTCACAAACTCTGCTTGCGCGGAGTTTTCCCGATCGATGGTATAAACAGTAGCCCCTTGATTCTCTCGTGGATGCGTCTTAATTCAATAGTGTTCTGTTTATGTTGGTACCTGGGGTGTTATGGTTCATAAGTATCAACTGATTCAGGAGTTGGATTGGGGGTTCCAGAATGCTCCTTTGATTCAGGCGACGTCATTTGTTTGAAGCCTATCTGGTGTTGATGATGTCATGGGTTGTTTTAATTCGGGGCGCGATGCTTTTGATGATTCGACAAATGTTTACAAGATGCTGATGATTCCGGGATGTTGATTCTTTCGGTTGTGTAAGTGTTTGTTGTCCGTCGCCGCTTCTTGGTTGCGTGTTCCCTCACTCGTGTATTAGAGTCCTCCCTGGATCCCCGTACGACACAGCCCCGGCACAATCGGGATAACCCAAACAGACTCAGACATCGCAGTCATTGGACACCCATACACCCCAGATGCCCCGGACACTGGACGCCTGGCGGTCGCAAGGGATGCCCCAGACAACCGGGACACCCCGCACACCATGGACACCCCAGACAGCGGGATTCCCCCTATCTGCCACCCGCACGCCCTGGTCACCGCCTTGGGGTTCGACCTGGACAGCTTGAACAGCCCGGACAAGACGTCAGAGACAAGCAGGGGGGGACAGGCTCGGGTGCGATGCGTTGACCCCGAATCGCCCATGGATCGCCGATGGGGGCCCGAAAGCCCACCACGTCCAGGACCGTACCGAGTATCCCAACGGGGCTCAAGCGCCGATCTGTTGGCGATGCATCGACGATTCAAGCTCGATGTGCCCCCCCCCGAGTTGGTTCCCTCCCATCGTTCCCCCCAGCACGCCACGCCGTCTGTTCGTCGTCGTCGTGTGTATCCGCTACTGGACAGGCATTCGGAGAAAGACACTACCCTCCTCTCATGTGAATAACAAGATTTGAGGCCAGACTCTTGTTTTAATCGTCAGCCCCCACCACATGTTTCAGAGGTCGCTTTGGAATTGATTTCCTAATCGCCCCTTCCACCCACTTGCCACGCATTCTTAATTCCTATCAGGCGTCCATTCGGAGGTAGATGAATGAGGAGGGGAAGAGTTAGGAGGGATGGAGGAGGTAGGAGAGGACATTCTCGAAGGGGGGGCAGGAGGGGATGTAGCACCCCGCAGTTGCGGATAAGAGTGAGGGGGCGGGCGCGGGATGGGTCGGGGGGCCGCGGTTGGGTTGCAGGTGAGTCGCGAGCAGGTCGCGGGTTGGTCGCGGGTTGGGTCGGCCGACGACAAGAACATGCAACAACAACATCATTAACAACAGCAACGACAAACAACGCCAGCAACAACACAAACAACAGTAACACCAACAGCGACAATAACAACAACGACAATAGCAGCTACAACGACAGCAACAATATGTTTAAGACTGTTCGCTCTTCCCTGCTCGCGTTCCACTCAACACGTATTTCCCAAACCCTCGATACCCGCCTTCTTCGTCTTCGATCGTACCCCCTTGAGGGTATATCTTCCTTATCATTTTTTATCGACCCAAGGGATAGCGCATGTACCCCCCCCTCCCCCCTCCCCCCCTCCTCCCCCGCAGTGGTAACGCCCCGGCCCCGATCCAGCGCGCGATCCCAGGCAGCCTAGGGTCTGTTGTGCACACGGGCGTGCATTATGGTGCATGCAGGAGATTTCTTTAGGGTCCGGCGATGACCCGGGTTCTCGGGCTCGCCCCGCCCTCCGCCCCAGGATAACCTAGCTTAGCCGGTTGTGCATGTGCGGGGGGGAGGGCGCAGGGAGCTTGCAAGGAACGCTGTGTTTATCGGCGCGGTGATGTTCGCCACAGCATGATGGTGTTTGGATGCACGTTGGCGAAACGCTAGGGCTTGGAGTGGCACGGGGAGACGACGACGACAGACGACAGACGACGACAGACGACGATAGACGACGAACGACGACGAAGACGACACCAGCGACCGACGACGACCGACGTCGTCCATAGGCATCTGGACGTGCACGTGAGCAGCGCGTACACAGGCATTGCTCGGCGACTACAATCGGTGCGGTTACGCCGGGGTGCCGTTTGTGAGTTGCTTTGTGGCGGCCTTTCCGGGGCCTCTGAGAGACAATGTCATAACTGTCGTCGTTTCGAGCGACATTGTCATCCTCGATGCGTGCTCCACTGTATTAGAAGGAGCGACAGTGTCATCTGATTCGGTCTCATTGAGTGACAGTGTCATCCGTTTCGGGGGGGCGACAGGGGCACATAAGACGGGAGGCAAACCCGCACCCTTCGCAAACCGCACCCATTGTGCTCGTCGAATTGCGTTGGGCACAGGCAGCGAGGCGATTTGGTGCGCGCATTTGCTGTTGTTGCGGCAAGTTCTGTTAGGTATGCAAGCGTGGTGGTGCTCGCAAGCATAAGTGCACGTAGGTCGCACGGTGCACGTGGGCATCGTGATGCACCCAGGCAATATGGTATAGACAAGCACTGCTGTGTGCAGAGTTGTTGTTGCAACATCAGTTATCATGCGCGCAGGCATCCCAATCACAGTGGTGTACACACAGGCGTCGTCGTGTTCACAGGCAGTCTATGTGGTGTACACAGGAGGCTGCGGTGCACACGGGTGCTGTGGTGTGCGGAGGCACTGTGGTGTACACAGGCATTGTTGTGTAGACAGGCGCTGCGGTGTACACAAGCAGCTGTGGTGTGCAAAGGCGTCGTGGCGCACGCTAGACAGGCGCTGTGGTGTACGCGGATGTAGTCGGGCAAAAACGGGGGGACCGAACCCCGGGCCAGACAAATCAATAATCACAAATTACCATGGCGACGTACCCAACCCCTGCGCAATGCGGGGCAGGAGTAGCTTGGGAGATTTGACAAGAAGGCGGCGACAAGACCTTGACGCATATACTTCTGCGAGCTGCATTCGGAAGGTCCGCAGGTCCCCATTCAAGGGAAAAACGAGGAGTAATTAAGTGAACCCCTGAATCACTAAGTCGCAAAGTCCAAAAGGAGACTGTGGGCAAGGGGCTTGAAACGTCGGCGGGGCAGCAACAACATGACATGGCCGCCCAGGGACGGCGAGGTCCCGCTCAGGTCCGCGCAGGGCTTCACTCCGCTGGACCCACCAGCAGCCCTCGAAAGTTGCGAGCCCACCAGCAACCCTCGAACATAGGGACAGTTTAGCAGTTCGCAGCCCCCCAGGGACGGCGAGGTCTCGCTCAGGTCTGCGCGATGCCTCACTCTGCTGGACCCACCAGCAGCCCTCGAAAGTGGCGACAGTTTTGCAAATCGCAGCCCCTCAGGGACGGCGAGGTCTACCTCAGGTCTGCGCGGTGCCTCACTCCGCTGGACCCACCAGCAACCTTCGAAAATAGCGACAGTTTAGCAGATCGCAGCCCCCTCGGAGCCCCCCCTCCCAGGAACGGCGAGGTCTACCTCAGGTCTGCGCGGTGCCTCACTCCGCTGGACCCACCAGCAGCCCTCGACAGTGGCGACAGTTTTGCAAATCGCAGCTTCCCAGGGACGGCGAGGTCTACCTCAGGTCTGCGCAGTGCCCCACTCCGCTGGACCCACCAGCAGCCCTCGAAAGTTCTAACAGTTTTGCAAATCGCAGCCCCTCAGGGACGCCGAGGTCTACCTCAGGTCTGCGCAGTGCCTCACTCCGCTGGACCCACCAGCAGCCCTCGAACGTGGCGACAGTTTCGCAGATCGCAGCCGCCCAGGGACGGTGAGGTCTACCTCAGGTCTGCGCGGTGCCTCACTCCGCTGGACCCACCAGCAGCCCTCGAACGTGGCGACAGTTTCGCAGATCGCAGCCCCCAAGGGATTGTGAGGTCTACCTCAGGTCTGCGCGGTGCCTCACTCCGCTGGACCCACCAGCAGCCCTCGACAGTGGCGACAGTTTTGCAAATCGCAGCTTCCCAGGGACGGCGAGGTCTACCTCAGGTCTGCGCAGTGCCCCACTCCGCTGGACCCACCAGCAGCCTTCGAAATTGGCAACAGGTTCGCAGATCGCAGCCCCCCAGCGACGGCGAAGAGAGGGCAGGAGGAGGCGGGAGGCAGGAGGAGAAGGAGGAAGTCGCGACGGCGGTGCTTTATTCAAAACAACCCCCCAACCAAGGATGGCTGGGAATAAGTTATGTATTGAATTTGATACGTTCGGGCCCCTGGGGGTTCTCCACATTTCGCGCCCCGGCGGAACGCAGAAGCCTCTGCTACAGCAGCACCTGTGGTCCGTTGTGGCGCACGCATTTTTGTAGTGCTCACAGGCAGTGTGGTGCACTCGTTTTTTATAGATAGTGCACATATGTAAGACTTCGCGGCTACGCTTAGCAATCACATCCCGCGTATTCCAATGCCAGCAGAACAGACATCCCTAGGCATTTTCAGACGGCGACCGCATCCTCGCAGCACCAATCGTAGTATCGCGGCAACATCGTTAGTAGCTGTAGGGGCCGCGGCACCAGTGCGCCGGGCATATGCAGGGCTGCCCACAGCGTGAAGGTTAGGTTATCGGCCGGTTTCCTTCCCCCCCCTCTCCGGATAGCCCGGGTCATCGCCGATTCCCAAAATATGTCTCCCGGCAGTACGGTGTGCACGGGCGTTCTGGCGCACGCATCTGTCGTTGCAGCAGCAGCCGTAGTGTACGCAGGCATAGAGGGTGTACGCAAGCATTGTAGTGTACACATCACAAGCCCTGTTGTGTACACAGGCGCCGTGGTGTACACAATCGCTGTAGTGCGCAAGGTAGCTACGATGTAAGCGTGCGATGTGGGCTATAATGGGCCCACGCGTATCTTCGCACTTCTTCCTCGTCCTCCCTTTTCACTTCCGTGCACACAGTCGTTGTGTTTCACATTCGCTGTGGAGACGAAATGTCCGAGCGTTGCTCGGACCCGAAACAAACAATAATCACAATCAGATCATACTATCGGATATCATACATTCGGGCCCCCAGCAATTCCCTGGACTTTGGCTCCGTCGGGACCGTGGAGGTGTACGCAAGTTTTGTGGTGAACGCAAGCAGTGTGCCTGCTCTTCCTGCTCCTCCTGCTGCTCCTGCTCTTGCAACGAGTTTCTTTTGCTCCTCCTTCTTCTCCTGCTGGTGCTGCTGTCCTGCGTGTACTCCCCTGGCTGACGCCACGCCGCGCGCCCCCAAGCCGCGCGGTGTTCACGGGCGCCGCGGTGCGCGCAGTTGCCATGACGTGCGCAGTCGCTAGGGCGTACGCAGACGTCGTGGGCCCAACATATCCCAGCGTTCGTGGGGCCAGAAAAACAAGTAATCACAATCAACTCAGAGATTGAATTTGATACGTTCGGGCCGCCGACGATTCTTTGGAGCTTGGCCCCGTCGGCACTGCCTTCAGGCGTACACGAGCTTTGCGGTGTGCGCAGGCGCTGTGGTGCACAGGGGGGGCTGAAGCAGCGGCTGTGGTGCACGCAGGCGCCGTGGTGTGCACAGATCGCAGGATGTACGACGGCGTCGCGGTGCACGCGGTTGGCATGGTTTGCACAGTCGCCGTGGTGCACACACACACACACACGATTTTTGTAACAGCCTTGGCGCACAAAGGGCCACAAAGGGCATTGTCCACAGCCCGTGCTGTGTGCACGAGCGCCGTGGGCTTGAGCGGCGACGACGACGACGACGACGACGACTACAGTCGGGGCGCTGAGGAAGGAACCCTTTTCGTTGGGGAGGGGCTCGGTGTTCCTTGCTTGTTCTGCAGTGTACCTTCGGTTCTCCTGAGGTTCCCCATGGGAAGTCGAAGTTCAACTCCTGGAAAAAAGGGGCCTCGTTCCTTATTGAGGGTTCCTTAGGTCAGCGCCCTGTACGACGACGTGGGCGGCGCGCCTCACGGGGTGCGCACCGCGGCCCCAGTGCCCCCACGCCCCCCCCCCCCCGGTAACGTGCGCCACCCCCCCAGAAGTAAGGACAAGTGGCACGCACGCTTTGGCTCTTGCACACATTCGAGGAGACAGAGAGGAGGAGGGGCGAGGGGGGGGGGGCGAGAGGGCCAGGGGATTGGGGGAACGGCATCTTCTCTGGCCTGCGACGTGTATTTCGTGCAGCCCCTGCAGCAGTGAGGGAGCGGACGGACGGAAGGAAGGGACAAGGGAGGAAGATGGAACACGGGAGAAAATAGCAGGAGAGTGGGCTGGGAGCAGAAAGCACGTGGCACAACCAGACGGGCAGATCGTGCGCGTAGACCTTAACGGGCGTGTCGGGGAGGCGGGCCTGAGTCGGCCAAGTCGAGCAAGCGGGTTGCTAAAGCGTGCATATTGCATGAGTCGCGATTCCCAATTAATTTTTTAGAAATCCACAGCGCGAGCGTGATTCCTGAGTGTCGAGGGCGTGGCGTCTGAATGAATTGCAAGGATGTCCCACGCGAGAGCGTGATTCCTGCATTAAGTTATGAGGAAACCCCACGCGAGAGCGCGATGTGGGAATACACTTGGTGGAAACATCAGGCGCGATCCGTTGAACTCTCACTTCGGAAGAAAAATATTGCTGATCCCGCTCGCCGGTGCATGCTGTTTGTTCTCAATCAATGTGTGCCCCTCGACGCTCGCATCCTGTTTTTTGACAGGGTAACTCTTGATGCTCAAACTGCGCCTTTGGCCCCCGGGTTACAACAACAACGGCTCCCGCTTGAGACTTCCTCACAATTTAGCCAGGACCTCCGCTCCCGCCCGAGACTTCCAATGTCTTCGGGAATCGCTCTCCCGGCGCTCTGGAGTCGCGCTCTCGCTGGAGACTTGCTTGCAATCTACTGAAGAATAGCGCCCTTGCGTGGGAATTTGAGGCAATTTGCTCAAGCGCCGCGCTCCCGACACCCAGGCACCCGGGAGGCGCGCCCGTTGTGGCCCCATGTGCGTGCCCTTCGTGGAACCGCTGTCGCCGTTTGTGGCCCCCTCACTGTCATACGTGGCCCAGTTGTTACCCTCAGTGGCCCCATCGTTGCTTTCTGTGGCCCCGCATTATCTGCCCTTCGTGGCCCCCGCTCGTTCGCGCTCTTCGTGGCCCCATACGCATTCCCTTCGTGGCCTTCTTCGTGTCCTTCGTGGCCCTGCTGTCGTTTTCTCTCGCTATCGCTTTCGCTCGTCGTCGCCGTTGTCGTCGTCGTCGCCGTCGTCGTCGACGTCGTCGTCGTCGTCGTGGTCAGTCCCCTGTCCGTCCCTCTTGGGGTCGGGTCGACGGTCCGCGGCCGCCCCGCCGATCAGCGCTGCCGCTGGCCAGACCGACGGTCCGCGGCCGCCCTGCCGCTTTCCGGGGCCTGGCCTGCAGGGAAGAGAAGTATATGTTCCCAAAGGGGTTCGATCGAAGACGAAGAGGGCGGGTATTGAGGATTTGGGAAATACGCGTTATTGGACACTCGAGCAAATGAGGGCGAACAGTCTTAAAATGATTGTTGTTGTAAAGAGGCGGAGGAGGAGGAGGAGGGGGAGGAGGGGGAGGAGGAGGAGCAGCGAGAAAATGGGTGCAGGAGGAGGGTGGATGTGGAGAAGGACAGGGCCGAGGTGGAGCCCAGACCCAGCACCGAGAGGCAGTCTTCCACGCACCTCGGCGGCGCGCGCGAGTTTGTCCGCAGGAGTTGCGCGCCGCGGCCCCCCACCGCGGAGGAGCCTCGAGCAGGGCGGCTCTGGAAGCAGCGGCGGCGCCCCCGGTGGGCCTGACGGCATGCGGGTCATCGAGGCCGGCATGCACGAGGCCGCGGGGAGGAGGGATCGTTGTGGGGGCGTCTTGCCTGGGACTCGGGCAAGTTCACTTGCACGGCAGTCCCGTCCCCCCTTCGGGCGCCTCTTCAAACAGCGCTTTGGCAGGACAGCCGTGCAAGTGAGCCCTGGCTCTCGTGTGAAGTGCTGATTTCCTTTCGGGCCTCGCCGCCTCCTCCTCCTCCTCCTCCTCCTCCTCCTCTCCTCCTCCTCCTCCTCCTCCTCCTCCTCCTCCTCCCCGTCATGCAAGCAAACTTGCAGGAACCCAGAGAACAGCAGCCTCCAGCACGGAAGCGGGTCCTGAGGGAAACGTGCCCTCAGGGTTCTCGCCGGTTCGGGTTCGCGGTGCCCTCCATATTGCAGCACGGGCCCCCAGGATCTGTAGAACAACGATGCGGGACGGAGAGTTGGTTCTGGGGAAGGACCCAGGGTCCAGGGCACGGGCGAGGCCGCGGGGAAGAGGAGGGAGGTCGGGGGAGGGTGAGATAATCACAAACAGAAGTCGTCGGAGCTCCAGGCAGATCGTGGATCGGTGCTGTGCTCTTAGGCGGCGCCTCCGGCGCCGCCCCTGGCGTGCTCCGCGCGCTAGTGAGGGGGGCCCAGTGCAGATCCATGAACTCCGCGCGGACCTGCAAAAAATCCGCGTGGACCTACGCGCGGCCCTCCGAATACGAGGAGGGTGTCGCAATGACGAAGGGAACGCGTCTTGAGGGAATATGGTTCTTTGGCGTGATGCCGTTTTCGGGCTAGCGGCTAGTGGCGCCCTCTTTGGGACTTACCTGCTCAGGGCAGAGAAAATGATGCCGCAAGGAGGAGGGGAGAGGTCGAGATACCGATACTGCCGCCTGTGAAACTGCGCGTTGGTTGATGAGGCGGGAGTCGGGAGGAGGAGGAGGAGGAGGAGGAGGAGGAGGAGAAGGAGGACGAGGGAGCAGGGAGGGAGGGAGGGAGGGAGGGAGGAGGGAGGGAGGGGAGGAGAGGAGGAGGAGGAGGAGGAGGAGGGAGGAGGAGGAGGAGGAGGAGGAGGAGAGAGCAGGAGGGGGAGGAGGAGGAGGAGGAGGAGGAGGAGGAGGAGGAGAGAGCAGGAAGAGACACACGTGAATGCAGCGCGGGCACGGGCGGCGGGCCGAGCCCTGCTGGAAACGCAGCCCGCGGGCGTGCGGGCAGAAGGGAAGGGCGACGCAGCAGTTTCGGGACCTCGCAAATTTGGGACCTCGTTCTGGTTTTGCGCGAGCAGCAACTGGCCATCGCTCGGACGTCCATTCCCTGTGTTTTTTGTCGGTTTCGTGCGTGGCTTTTTCGCCAAATGATCAAGGATGCTCCACGATGGTCCTCGCCAGAAGAAAAATGCACACGTCCGAGCGATGCCAAGGAAAATAACGGACGCGATGGCGAGTGGCGCAATCGCGGCCAGATTTCGGATCGAACTCCCCCCCCCCCTCAGGGTCCCCCCCCTTTGGGCCCCGAAGAATGGAAGGGCGACGCAGCAGTTATACGGCGGGTTCGCGTCGTGTCGACCGGCGGCGCCCCCAGCGCGTGCGTTGAAGTCAGGCGATCGCAAACATGGATCAAGGGGGCGTGGGTTAGCGACGGGTCCCGTTTCCATGGGAAATCGCGTATTTCCGCCGCCGAGCGAGGCGGCACCAGCTCGCCAAATCCATGGATCGCTCAACCATGTCTGCGCGTTCCCGATATACGGCAGGTTCGCCTCGTGTCGACCCAAGGTGACCCCAGCGCGTGCGTTTAAGGCTGAACGCCGCCTGTGGCCCGGAATCGGCCCAACTTTGAACGATCCGGCCTTCTTGAAAGGGCCGATCGTTCAAATTTGAACGATCCCCGCGGTGTCAGGAACCAACGCCGGGGTCGACACGACGCGAACCTGCTGTATCTCATCATATCCGCATGCACAGAAGCTTGTGACGAGCGCAGAGCGCGAGAAAGGACCTGTGTGTCGCTGAACGACCGTAAAGGCATGGGAGGCTCGAAGGCCCCTGCGGGGCGTGCGCCAACCCACGTATAGCATGGGTAGGGAAGCAGGGGCGAACGCCGACAGCCAGGGTGGAGTATGCGCTGACAGGGCACGTGCATGGAGCCGAAGAGAGAAGCGGCTCAAACCCAACGGCCAAAGCAGTCGCTAGCAAATATACACGCCAGCGGGCGAACGCATTTATCCCAGGCAGAACAGGGGGACGGGAGGCGCAGCAGTTAGATATCATAACGTAACCGCTTACGCAGAGCCAGAAACGAGCAGAGTGCGCGAACGAGGACCTGTGTGTCGCCAGCGACCTTGAAAGACGAGGGGGACTCGAAGGCCAGGGCAAGGGAAAGAAGCAGGTTCGAACAGGACAAACCAGCTTGGAGGACACTGGCGAACCACAAAACATGGAGCCAAGACGAATCCATGGCTCGAGCTCAGAAGCCTCAGCGGCAGCTCGCAATCCGAGTGCAAACACGTTCAACCGAGACCACAGCGAAGCCGTGCGTAATTTGTTGCTGAACTGGTTGAAGTGGCTTGGGAGGCGCGCAGGCCCGACTGGGACTGGGAGTGCGCGAACCCAGGCCACGAGACGGAAGTGGAACAGAGGCAAGAACAGGTGCGTGCAGCCATGCCAGTGCTGTCTGCAGGACAGACCGCTCGCACGCTAGCCAGAATGGCGCGCGAGACTAAGGAGGAACGAGTCGCTGGGCTGATGACAGCACACAGCCCATTCAAGTCTCCCGCATTGCACCACTGGCGGCGAGGCCCTGCAGGCCATTGCAAGGGGAATGCCCGGGATGACATGGAAAAGATAGCCCCAGCGGCAGAAATGGAGAACGACCTGAGTAGGGAACATAACTTGCTCTGCGTTCCTCGGTGGAACGACGGAGCGGAGCATCGGCATAGCTACTATCCAGAACAGCCTGCATGTCTAGTTGATCTTGCACCGCTGTACCAGCTTTGGGAGTGCGAATGTCGGCTCCTCGCAAAGAACGAGCAGATCAGAAGCGCGGTTTGGGGCGTCCCATGGGGGCAGGAGCAGAGAGAGGTTGAGAGCCAAGGTATTGACGAAGCTCATCGTCAGAATTTAGCATGCTTACCACAGCTGCCGGTCACCTTAGCATTCAGAGCACGACGTTTGGCACACACCTCGCGAGGAGGTCGGCGGCAAGCCTGCGGAACCGATTGGGGGCGTCCCATGGAGACAGGCAGGGGAACGTCACTTGAAACATCTCTCTGATTTGCGCGGGCCATGCCAGCGTTGTCGACGTCAGAGGAGAAACGGCTCCAACGGTTGTGGCGAGGCACAGTAGGTGGGCTCTTTGCACGGGAGGTCTTGGCCGTGCAGCCTTCGGAGCAACGGGCCTTGAACCGAGCAACTTGAAGACGGAACTCCAAACGCACCAGGGGGAGGTTGACGCCAGGAGAGACGAGAGCCTGCTCTTGCCACCGTTGCTCCTGCCACCTCTGCTGCGCCACGGGGCCCCACTGTGGACGAAACCGAGAAGATCCAGCGGGAGCATGGGAAGCACGAGCGTGCTTGTTCATTGACCCTGGCCGAGGCTGAGCAGGAGCCGCTGCAGGCGGCGCTGCGGGAAACTTCCAGGAAGAGGGCGGCGGTGGATGGCGAGGGGGCCCCGGCCATTGAACTCTTGGTCGGACATGAGCAGGAACCGCTGCAGACAGCGCCGCGGAAACACTCCAGGATGAGGGCGGCGGCGAATGTCGGGCCGAGCGAAGGGGGGGGAGGGAAAGGGGGGGTACGAAATCTGCTGCATGCAGCTGGTTTCGGCCCCGCCGCCGGGACCATTCCTTGATACATGGGCGCCTCCGGGCGCCTGGAGGCGCTGGGAAAATCAGCTACGTGAGTTGATTCTCTACCCTACCCTTTGCTATCCCCCCCTTTCGTGATGAGATCCAGGAGCTGGAAGAGCCAGGAGTGGCGGCGGCGCCGCGGGTAGCCTCGCAGGCGGATGCTCGGTGGGGGGAAACAGGATGCCTCTCCCCCTCCGCGCCGGCACGACGCGGTCGCTCGAGGCGGGCGACGCGCTGGGCTCAGAGGCGACGATAGGAACGAATAGCCCAGGGGAGAGCAATACATGCATTCAGGTGCGCCGATGCTCTATGTCTTCGAAGAGGCTCCCGGGCGAATACGTGTAATGCCCCCGGGCTATTCGGCCCTATCGTCGCCGCCGAGCTGGGCCCGAGCAGGAAGGTGAGCACGTGAGCGGAAGGGGGCAACACGGCTGCGGCCACGGCTCAGGCCCAAAGCTTGAGGGGGGACGGGGGAGGAGGAGGAGGAGGAGGTGGAGGTGGCAGCGGCTGGACCGCTCTGAGCTCGACCAAGAAAAAGGTGGAGGTGGAGGAGGAGGAGGAGGAGGAGGAGGAGGAGGAGGAGGAAGCAGAGGAGGAGGACGATGAGAACGAGGAGGAGGAGGAGGAGGAGGAGGAGGAGGAGGAGGAGGAGGAGGAGTGGGGGAGGGGCGGAGGAGCTCACCTCCGCTCGGGGATCTCGGCCGGGTGGCGGCTCCCCCGACCGCCGGCCAGGGGGCGGCCTTCCCTCCCCTCTCCCCAGACGCGTCCCTCCTGCACGGGAATGCACTTCTGGAGCTCCGCGCGGCCTTTTTGGATCGGTCGCTTGACCACCTGGCGTGCTCGTGCCAGTCCTGGACCTGCGGCGAATCACGTTTGCGCGCGCGGGTTCGGACTCCTCTGTCCCCATCCCTCTTCGTGCCTCTCTCCTCCGTCCTCGCTTCCCTCCCGCCAGGGCGGTGCTTTGCAGGTTCTGAGGGCTGCGTTTGTTCCCCCATCCCTGGGGTGGGGCTCCCCCCCCCGGCCTCATTTGAGGAGGGACCAGTCTTCATCCTCCCCCTCTTCTCTTCCTTTTCCTCCTCCTCCTCCTGATCTTCCTCATCTTCCTCCTCCTCCTCCTCCCCCTCCTCCTCCTCTTACTCCCCCTCCCCTTCCCGCTCTGCTGTTGCCGCCGCGAGCCCGACAGGCGTTCGCCAAGATGGACCAGGAGCGGCCTGTTCTGACGCGCCATCACGGGAGGAAGGCGGAAGGAGGATCGGGGCTCTGGAGGCCAGCACTTTGGTGCAGGCTCGATTCTCGGGCCGGACGAAAGTGGGGGGTTGGGAAAGGGGGGGGTGCGAAATTTGCTGCATCGGCCCCACCGAGGGGCCCAGTCCTCGATACCTAGCCGCCCCCTGGCGCCGGGAGGCGCCGGGAAAATCAGCCACGTGAGCTGATTCTCAACCCCCCCCTTTACTTTCCCCCCCTTTCGCCCCGCCCGAGATTCGACTGGTGATCCCCTGACCCAGCATCCTGGTGCGGGAAGGATTCGGCGGGCGATCCCGCGGTTGGTTTCGCCAGCGAAATTGCGAACGCGAGCGCAGCGTTCCAGCGAGTGGCGCCGCTGGGCCCGGGAAAAAATTGAGGGGCTGGGCCTCTGGTCCTTCGGAGCGGCCTGCTTTAGCATTCCTTGCCAGATGCCGCAGGCGTTCTCGAGTGAGATGGGTCTTCAGGCTTTCTGTCGCTGCCAATCCCCAGTGGGTGGGTCCGGAGTCTTCCGTCTGCGTGAGCCGGGCCCCCCCGCGCGCTCCCGCCCGATTCTTGCCCTACGCTTAAGTCGGGCCTGTCCCTCTACAGGAGGGATATGCAAAGACAGTTCTTGTTGAGCATGTTGGGAGTATGGTTTGAGCATTTTTCATGTTTCGCCCAAGAGCCCCCTGTATGGGGGACAGGCCCGACCTAAACCTACGCCGCGCCGCCGGTCCGTGGTCGGGAGGCCAGATGTCGCCAGGTTCTCTGCCACTGCTCGGCCTGGCGATCTGTGTGCCCACGTTTTCGCTTTGCTTGGCGGGCACAAGCGCGCGCGGCAGCGGGCGGGAGTGAGGGGCGTCGGCGGCCGTGTCCGCCGACGCTCGTGGCCCTGCTGAGCCTCGGGCGGTCGGGAAGCGGATCAGAAGGCAAAGTTTGTCCAAGGGGATGCCATGGGGGTCCAGGACCCGTTGCCCTCAGGACCAGTGTGGTTCACGGCAGTGCCTTCACCATCTCGATCCGCATCCGCGTGCCCCCTGTCCCATGAATTGGCGGGAGGGGGACGGCAATCGTAATCATAAGCGGGTGCCGGCCTGGACCCTGACGTAAAGGTTCTGGCGTTGTGGATTTGTAAGCTATGTGGTGCAAGCTATATGGCACAATGCTCGTGGTGCAGTGTATGTGGCGTATTCCGACAATGTCGGCGTTTGACGACGACGATAACGGGGGTGATGCGTTGACGTTGATGTGGGTGATGATGAGGAAGTGCGCGCGCAGACAAAGCAATAATCGAGGTATATGTTCAGATGTGATTGAAGAGTTCCATCTGGAGGTGCGTCGAACACCACTGGTTTTGGAAGGATGTCGGCACGTGAGCGTGTCGGCGCGTGCATGTGGCCCGCATGGTATTCGTGGATACCGATCCGTGCACTGTGCGCACGCAGGGTCAACGAGGAGTGGCTCTGCTGAGTGTTCGAGGCCTGAGCCCCATGAGCTCGACCAGGCAGAGGGTGGGTGCTTCTCCTCCCCGTGTCCTGTCCCCTCCTGCTTCTTTCCCCCCCCCCGCCCACCCCCCAAAAGTGCCCAGGCCAACGGACAGGTTGGCGGAGCGTCTTGTAATAGTGGGTTGGGAGACTCGCGTGCGGGACCAGCTGCCCGCTTGCTTGGTTCCCAGGGCTGATGTGCATGAAGTGTTTGAGGTTCCCCAAAGTTGCAAACAGTGGGCAGGCTGGAGGCCTGGACCGCACGGCATTACGTCGGCCTGAGGGCGTCTATATTTGCTTGTAATCGGCATGAAAATTGGCCCCGATTGGTGTCTGATGTGACGATCTTCTTCCTGACCCTCCTCCCAACTTCCAGTCCTTGCCCCTTTCCCGTCGGCATCCTCCCCGTCCCCCATCCTTTCCTATGCTCGCTCCTTCCCCTCGTCACTCGTCCTCGCGTTCTCCTCCTCTCCCCCCGATCTCAAGGGAGGAAACAGCACCCGGGCCGGACAATTGGCGTTCACTAAACGGCCTTGAGCGTTTGCGAAACAGCCCTGCCCTCTTCGATTCCTTCTTCGGGTGCGTTTACCAGACGGCTTCGCGTGTCGGGGTGGTCATTCTCGGGGTGGATCTTCTGCCCTCCGCGAGCCTCGTCCTCCCGATCCTCCCGTGGCCTCGCCCGCCCGCGGCGGACCCGCCGCAGAGGACCGAGTGCGGGCCCTGCTGGAGGGCGTCGGCTCCCTCAAGGCGGCCCCGACGGCCGCCGAGCTGCAGAAGCTGCAGGCGCTGATGGCGGAGGCTTCCGGGGGGAGAGGGGACGCGAGGG